CCTTCCTTCCTTCCTCCTCCCTTCATTTCCTTCCATTCTCTTTCCCTTCCTTCCTTCCTTCCTTCCTTCCTTCTTTCCTCCCTCTCTCTCTCTCTCTCTCTCTCTCTCTCTCTCTCTCTCTCTCTCTCTCTCTTTCCCGGACCTGTCTTTTCATACCCCCTAACTTCCTTAAGGTCAAGGCTGTCTTATACATCTGGAATCTCCCTTGCATACACAATCATTTGCTGGAGCCCTGGAGGGTTGAGTGTTGTCCCATGCACTAAAAGGTTTCAGGTTCAATCCCTATTGGGGTGCATAGGAGAGGCAACCGATGGATGTTTCTTTCTCACATCAATGTTTCTCTCTCTAAAAAATAATTAAAAATCAATAAACATATCCTCTGGTGAGAATTAAAACAAAACAAAACAAAAAACCACCTGCTGTAGTAGATACATTGTTCATTTCAGCAAATTCTTGCTGCCCTTCCTCAAAGATGCTTCACTTTTTCCCAACCCCGGGAAAATCCCCACAGAGAGCAAGTTGACTTCCTCTGGAGAAGGAGAAGAATTTATTTTAGTTCAACTCTGGCTCACAGTTTTGTCTTCTTTTCTCGTGTTGGGGTCACTAGAAGCCCCTTCAATCCCATCACAAATCCCATCACAAATCAGGGCAACTCAGAGACAGTTTTCTTGGCTGGAGGACAGGTTGGCTTCTCCGGCTCCTTTGCTTTCTCTTCATACATTAGGATCCTGGTTGAGACGGGAAGAGACACAGGGTCAGGGAACAGTCCTCTCAAGAGAATTAAGTCCAGCCGAAACCGGTTTGGCTCAATGGATAGAGCGTTGGCTGGGGGACTGAAAGGTCCCGGGTTCGATTCTGGTCAAGGGCATGTACCTTGGTTGCAGGCACATCCCCAGGAGGGGGTGTGCAAGAGGCAGCTGATTGATGACTCTTTCTCATCGATGTTTCTAACTCTCTATCTCTCTCTCTTCCTCTCTGTAAAAATCAATAAAATATATTTAAAAAAAAGAGAGAGAGAGAGAGAGAGAGAGAGAGAGAGAGAGAGAGAGAGAGAAAGAATTAAGTCCAGAAGAAGATGAGGGTGTCGAGGTGGGAGTGCTGTGGGCTGTGGGACCAGCACCAGGGATGGGATAAGACCGTGGACGGGAGAAGTGGATGCTGAGTGTCGTGGGAGGAAACCGGCAGGACAGGGGGTTGGGACTGGACTGCGGGCCACCCTGCGCCTGGCTCCCCCACAGCAGCCCCTCACATTTTTAGGATGGCAGATCTCTTGCCCAACATCATCCTGAGAAAGTCGGAGTAGTTGAAAGTCTCCGCAGAGCTGCCGGAAACCTCCCTGATTAATTTCTTTAGCTCCAGGTGGGTCTTGGGTACCCCAAGTTTCTCCAACATTCGCTTCAGAGACATGATATCTGGAGGTAAAGGATGGGGTGAGAAGAGGGGATCTCGCTCTCCTGTGCCGCCAATTCCCAGTCCCTCCTCTAATCCTGTAGTGGGCTCTTTCCCATCCGATGGAGCACGGCGGAGGGACCGCCCCCTGGGTCTGCGCACTCCCCAGACCCCCCTTTTCTCACCAATGTCTCCGTTTCCATTCTGGTCAAACTCCATGTATTTCTCTGGGTGAGGGGAGAAAGCAGAGGTAAGCTCTGGCTGGAAGGGCAGGGAACTGAGAAGGGGTTGCTAGGAATGCTAGGTAGGGAGCGTGGGAGAAGGAGGGCCAGGCGGGGAGGCGGCTTGGTTGAAGGGCCCTGTGAAGGCATCCGAACTGCACTGCGGGGGCGGCTGCGAGGGGCCGGCCAGGGAAGGGGCTGAGCCGGGGCAGCGGAGGCAGTCTTCCTTCCTCGGCCACAGGGGCACTGTGTCTCTGCTCTCCCGCCCCCTCTGCTTTGGGGAAATCCTCCCCGCTCGCCTCCCATCCACCCCTACAGCTTTCCCCTCACTCTTGAAGGCTTCCAGTTTGGAGAGGAGATCCTCATCACTGCTGTATTTGGGGTCATCCAGGAATTGCTGTGGGAGAGCCAGAGCCAGTGGGCCCTCTGTCCAGGCCCTTCCCCCAGCCCCAGCCCAGCCCCTTAGTTCCCTCTTACCTTATTGATTTCATCCAGTTTCTCTTCCTGCTGGGCCCTCAGCAGCCCAAAGGCCTTTCCTCCTGAGGGGCACAAAAGTCAAGGTACCCACTGCCCCCGGCCCGGCATCGCTGTCTCAGGCCAGTAACTGCCCTCCTGGTCCCCTGGCCACATCTGTCACTCTTGCTCAGTTTAAAAAATATATTTTTAAAAATTGATTTCAGAGAGGAAAGAAGAGGGAAAGATAGGAACATCAATGATGAGAGAGAATCATTGATTGGCTGCCTTCCCCCCTCCCCCTCAGTGAGGATCAAGCCCGTAACCGGAGCGTGTGCCCCAATTGGAACTGGACCGTGACCTCCTGGCCCAGAGGTCGATGCTCAGCCACAGCCCCGCCAGCTGGGAGTCCTGCTGACTTTGGAGGCTTCTGCCTATCCTGTCCACCTACCCTGTAAATCCCGGGCTTGGCTCATGGCTCAGCAGATGCTGGTGGAGACAGACAAGCTGGCTGTGTCTCTGATGGCTCTCCTCTCCCACAGCCTCCTGGGAGCCCCCCCAAACTTCCCCTTTTGCTCATCTCCTCCCCCTCTGGGTCCAGCCTCACTTCCTCATCAGCTTGTGCTGACACTGGTGAAACATGGGATTCGGGGTACAGGCTTCTCATGGCTTCTTGTCTGACGAAGATGACAAGAAGAATCAATTCGTGGCCTAACAGATTTCTTTAATTAAAGTGTAGAAGTTTATTGGAAGCATACACAAACTCCACCTGGGCAGAGGTTTCCCAAAGGAGACCCCCTGAGGAGGGGTCCCCAAATGGGAAAAGCCTGCTCTCTCTAATGGCAAAAATAAAATAAAAATCTTGCCTGCTGCCATTTTACCTCCAGTCTTAGCTGCAGTTCTTTGTTTGAACCTGACCCCTTCTAATTGGACCTCTCATTAATTTAGGACCCCCATGCTTTCCTCTGGGCTATTTTGTTGCATAGTATCAGTTTCAAAGGCCAAAGCCCAGTGCTGACCCTTCCTGCTTTAGACTTTTCACTTTTTTTATTGATTAAGGTATTACATGTGTCCGTATCTCCCCATCGCCCTGCCGCCCCATTCCCATACATGCCCTCACCTCCCAGCGTCTTCATCCATTGTGCCTTTTTAACTATTACATTTTTATTTTTAATCAGTATTATTACTTCTACTATTTTACTTTTTTTAAGTGTCAGTTTATTTTCTCTTTCTTTTACTTCTATTTTCATTTTCCTTTAGCATCATTTTACTCTAGCTCGACTTTACCTTTATGCCAGCACACTCTTCCTCACTTTTTCCCTTTTGTTGTCCTGTTTCTCTTACCCTATTCCTGCTTTAGATTTTTCCTATGCGTTCTTTTTACCCCCTGTTAAAATTTCACCCTATTTATATATCTAATTTCCAATCCCCTGCTCCAAGTCCATACACACCTCTCTCTTCTCTTTCTTCACTATCCAAAATTTCTCTCTCTGTCCTTTTGTTGTTGTTTGCTTCATTGTTGATTATATATATTTTTATGCTTGTTTGTGAAATTATTTCGCTTTTTCTTGTTGTTGTTGTTTGTTTCTTGCTTCTGTTTTTCCTGCCTCCCTTGATATTGTTGTTTGTAGTTTGCATTCATCTCTAGGTGTTTGTTGCTGGCATTAGTTGGGATTAGAGACTGCTCTATTGGATTTTTCTCCCCATATAAATAGTTCTTTCCCCTCTTTTTAATTCTTTTTTTTCTCTCTTACTTTTTTTTCCTTTACCCAATTCCATTTTTGCACTCTTTTTTTTTACCCTTACCCCCCTCCCCTTCTTTCTTTCTTATCCCCTAATTCTCTTTTCTCTGGTGGTCACCTTTATTTGGGGTTATTAGTATAGTGAATACATTTGTGTTCAGTGCCTTTTGTGTTGTGCCTTGTTGTGTTGTATTTTGTGCTTTTAAATCAATGCAGAAGAGAGAGAACTATATAACCAGACACCTGGAGAAGAGAGACCATGGGGAGACAAAGAAATAGCCTGCATATGAAAGAAAAGCAGGCATCACCAGAAAAGAAAGTAAACAAAATGGAGGCAAGCAATCTGTCAGAGAAAGAATTCAGAGAAATGGTCATAAGAGGGATGAAAAGAATGGAAGACAAATTCAAAATATGTGTAAGAACCAAGAGGAAATGAAGAACCAAGAAGAAATGAAAAATGACATCACTGCTATAAAAACTCAATAAAAAGCATCAACAGTAGACTAGAAGAAGCAGAGGACCACATCAGTGAACTAGAAGACAAGGTAGAAAAAACTACCCAAGCAGAGCAGCTTCTAGAAAAAAAAAAATTAAAAAGCAGGAGAGAGCCTAAAAGAACTTTGGGACAATACGAAACAAAACAACATCGCATAATAGAGGTTACATAAGGAAAGGAAACTGAGCAAGGAATAGAAAACCTGTCCAGCCCTAGCCAGTTGGCTCAGTGGATAGAGCGTCAACCTGCTGACTCAAGGGTTCCAGGTTCGATTCTGGCCAGGGCACATGCCTGGTTGTGGGCTCAATCCCCAGTGGAGGTCATGCAAGAGGCAGCCAATCAATGATTCTCTCTCATCATTGATGTTTCTATCTCTCTCTCCTTCTCCCTTCCTCTCTGAAATCAATAAAGAAATATATTTTAAAAAGAAAAAGAAAAAAGGAAACCTGTTTGAAGAAATAATGACAGAAAACTTATATAGGGAAGAAAAAACTCACACAAATCCAAGAAGCTCAGAGTCCCAAACAAAATTAACCCCAAAAGACCAACTCCAATGCACATTATAATTAAATTGGCAAACACCAACAACAAAGTAAGGATCTTAAAAGCAGCCAGAGAGAGACAGAAAGTTACATACAAAGAATCCCCCATCAGAATAATGACTGATTTCTCAACAGAAACACATCAGGCCAGAAGGGAATGGGATGAAATATACAAAGTCATGCAAAGGAAGGGCCTGAATCCAAGAATACTGTGTTCAGAAAGGCTACCAATCAAAATTGAAATCAGGAGCTTCACAGATAAAAAAGGACTAAGGGAGTTTATTACAACCAAACCAGCAATGCAAGAAATGCTAAAGGGTCTGCTGTGAAAAGAAGACAAAGGAAGCAAAGAAGGAACACAAGGACAAAGAATAAAAATGGAGACAAACAAGTACCTATCAATAATAACTTTAAATAGAAATGGATTAAATGCCCCAATCAAAAGACATAGGGTAACTGAGTGGATAAGAAAACATGACCCATATATCTGCTGTCTACAGGAAACCCACCTCAGAAAAAAAGATGCACACAGACTGATGGTGAAGGGATGGAAAAAGGTTTTTCAGGTGAATGAAAATGGAAACAGAGCTGGGGTACCAATACTTATAGCTGACAAATTAGATTTCAAAGTGAAGGACATAACAAGAGATAAAGAAGGGCACTTCATAATACTAAAGGGAGCAATCCAAGAAGAAGAAATAACCCTGGTAAGTATATATGCACCCAATACAGGAACACCCAAATACATTAAAAAAAAAAAAAAAAAAAAAAAAACTTCTGGAGGCTATCAAGGGAGAGATTGACAGCAAATCAGTCATAGTAGGGAACTTTAAACCCCACTAACATCACTGGACAAATCCTCTAAACAAAAAACCAGCAAAGAAACATCAATCCTAAATGACTCACTAGGTAAGATGGAATTAATTGACATTCAGAATATTTCACCCCAAAGCCATAGAATATACATTCTTCTCAAGTGCACATGGGTTGTTTTCAAAGATAGTCCATATATTGGGTCACAGGCAAAATCTCTTCAAATTCATGAAGATAGAAATCATATCAGGCATCTTCTCAGATCACAATGGCATAAAACTGGAAATCAACTACAATAAAAACAATTCAAAAAAAAATCAAACACCTGGAGACTAAATAACATGCTATTAAATAATGACTGGGTTACCAGAGAGATCAAAGAAGAAATAAAAAAATCATGGCAACAAATGACAATGAAAACACAACAATCCAAAATCTATGGGACACAGCGAAAGCAGTCTTGAGAGGGACGTTTATAGCTCTACAAGCCTACTGCAAAAAACAAGACACAATGGTAATAAGTTACCTAACTCTACAACTCAAAGAGTTAGAAAGAGAGCAACAAGAAAAACCCAGTGTAAGCAGAAGGAAGAAAATAATAAAGATCAGAGTGGAGGTAAATGACAGAGAACGATAGCAACAACAACAACAACAACAACAAAATACAAAAGGTCAACAAAATCAAGAGCTGGTTCTTTGAAAGGATAAACAAGATTGATGAAGCTCTAGCCAGACTCACCAAGAAGCAAAGAGAGAGAGTACCCAAATAAGCAAAATCAGAAATGAAAGAGGAGAAATAACAACAGACCCCACATAAATACAAATGATTATTTAAAAATACTATGAACAACTCTGTTCCAACAAACTGGACAATCTGGAGGAAATGGACATATTCCTAGAAAAATACAACCTTCCAAAACTCAATCAGGAAGAATCTATAAATCTCAATAGGCCAATAACTATGGAAGAAACTGAAGTAGTCATAAAAAAGCTTTCAACAAACAAAAGCCCGGGGCCAGATGGCTTCACAGGGGAATTTTACCAAATACTCAGGAAGAACTAAAACCTATCCTCCTCATATTATTCCAAAAACTTCAAGAGGAAGAAACACTTCCAAGCCAGCATCACCCTAACACCAAAACCAGATAAAGACAACACAATGAAAGAGAATTATAGGCCAATATCCCTCATGAACAGATGCCAAAATCCTCAAAAAAATTCTAGCAAATTGGATCCAGCAGTACATCAGAAAGATCATACACCATGACCAAGTACGATTTATCCTGGGGATGCAAGGATGGTACAATATCTACAAATCAATAAATGTGATACATCACATAAACAAATTGAGAGATAAAAACCACATAATCATATCAATTGATGCAGAAAAAGCATTTGAAAAAATCCAACACCCATTTTTGATAAAAACTCTCAGCAAGGTGGGAATATAAGGATCATACCTCAACATAATAAAAGCCATATATGACAAATCCACAGCCAACATCATACTCAATGGGCAAAACTAAAACCATTTCCCCTAAGAACAGGAACAAGACAGGGATGCCCACTCTCACCACTCTTGTTTGACATAGTACTGGAAGTGCTAGCCATAATGACCAGACAAGAAGAAGAAATAAAAGGCATCCAAATTGGAAAAGAAGTAAAACTGCCATTATTCGCAGATGACATGATATTGTACATATAAAATACCAAAGACTCCATCAAAAAACTACTAGACTTAATAAATGAATTTGGCAATGTAGCAGGATACAAAATTAACACTCCGAAATCTATGGCTTTTTTACACACCAATAATGAATTCACAGGAAAAAAAAATGTTTTTAAAACAATCTCATTTACCATTGTAACAAAAAAATTAAGATACCTAGGAGTAAACCTTACTAAGAAGGTAAAAATCTGTACTCAGAAAACTACAAGACATTGAAAAAAGATGGAGGAAGACATAAACAAATGGAAGAACATACTGTGTTCATGGACTGATAGAATTAATATCATTAAAAAGTCCATACTACCCAAAACAATCTATAGATTCAATGCAATCCCCTTCAAGATACCAACAAATATTTAGATCTAGAACAAACCCTCCAAAAATTCATCTGAAATAAAAAAAGGTCCTGAATAGCTCCAGCAATCCTGAGAAAGAAGAACAATGTTGTAGGGATCACAATACCAGATACCAAGCTATTACCAAGCCACGGCTCTCAAAACTGCTTGGTACTGACACAATAACAGACATATAGACCAATGGTACAGAACAGAGAACCCAGAAATTGACTCCAGCCATTATGTTCAATTAATGTTTGACAAAGGAGGCAAGAGCACACAATGGCGTTACGACAGTCTCTTCAATAAACGGTGCTGGGCCAAAACCGGTTTGGCTCAGTGGATAGAGTGTCGGCCTGCAGACTGCAATGTCCCAGGTTCGATTCCGGTCAAGGGCATGTACCTTGGTTGCAGGCACATCCCCATGAGGGAGTGTGCAAGAGGCAGCTGATCGATGATTTTCTATCATCAATGTTTCCAACTCTCTATCCTTCTCTCTTCCTTTCTGTAAAAAAATCAATAAAATATATATTTTTTAAAATTTTAAAAATTAAGTAAACGGTTCTGGGAAAATTGGACAGATACATGCAAAATAAATAAATAAATAAAACGAGACCTCCAACTTACACCATACACAAAAATAAACTCAAAATGGATAAAGGACTTAAATCTAAGACGGAAGCCACAAAAATCTTAGAGAAATCCTTATGCAGCAAAATATGCCAAAGCAATATCTTCACCAAAACAGCTTCTACGGCAGTGGTTCTCAACCTTCCTAATGCCCCTACCCTTTAATACAGTTCCTCATGTTGTAGTGACCCCTAACCATAAAGTTGTTTTTGTTGCTACCTCATAACTGTAATTTTGCTACTGTTAATGAATTGTAATGTAAATATTTGTGTTTTTCAATGGTCTTAGGCTCTACAGCAGCGGTTCTCAAGCTGTGGGTCACGAGAACCACTAGCAGGGTCGCCTAAGACTATTGGAAAACACAGATACTTACATAATGATTCATAAGAGTTGAAAAATTACAGTTATGAGCTAGCAATGAAAATAATTGTATGGTTGGGGTCACCACAACATGATGAACTGTAGTAAAGGGTCGTGGCGTTAGGAAGTTTGAGAACCACTGTCCGAGGGCAATGGAAACTAAAGAGAAAATAATCAAATGGAACATAGAAATAAAAGGCTTCTGCACCGCAAAAGAAACCATCAACAAAACAACAAAGAGCCCACTGTATGGGAGAACATATTTGCCAATGTTATCTCCGATAAGGGTTTAATCTCCAACATTTACAGGGAACTCATACAACTTAACAAAAGGACATACAGAAGGCCAGGACACATATGAAAACATGCTCAAAGTCACTAATTATCCGAGAAATGCAAATCAAAACAACAATGAGGTACCACCTCACACCTGTCAGAATGGCCAACATCAACAAATCAACAAACAACAAGTGTTGGCGAGGATGTGGAGAAAAAGGAACCCTTGTGCATTGCTGGTGGGAATGCAGACTGGTACAGCCATTATGGAAAACAGTATGGAGTTTCCTTTAAAAATTAATAATGGAACTGCCATATGACCCAGTTATCCCACTTCTAAGAATATATTCCAAGAAATCAGAAACGCAATCAGAAAGGATATATGCACCCCTATGTTCATAGCAGCACTATTGGCCATATCTAAAATTTGGAAACAGCCTAAGTGCCTATAAGCAGATGAGTGGATTAGAAAACTGTGGTATACCTACACAATGGAATATTATGCTGCTGTAAAAAGGAAGGAATTCCTACTATTTGCAACAGCATAGATGGACCTGGAGAGCATTATGAGAAGTGAAATAAGCCAGTCAGAGAAAGATAAATATCACATGAACTCACTCATTTGTGAAATATAATAAACAATATACACTGATAAACAAAAATAGATCCAGAGACATAGAAGCATCAAACAGACCATCAAAGCTCAGAGGGGAAAAAGAAACTCTCCAATAGGGAGGATCCAAGATGGCTGCACAGGTAAACACCTAACCACAGCTGCACACAACAATTTCAATGGAATACAACTAAAATATAAAATGGACATTGCTCAGAGCTACAGGTAGTCGACTGACTGAAAGTTCTACAAGAAGGAAAGAGAAAACCAGAAGGAAAATCAGAGGAACTGAAAAATCCTAAGGTACGGAGACATGCTGCTCGCCCGCATGCACGCATGCGGAGAGGACGGAGCCGGAGAGGAGGAGAGGGCTGGTTGCCTGCCTGGCGTTCCCTAGCAGGAAGGAAATAAAACCCCCGGACTGGGCTGAACCCCAGAACTGGCAGCACTGAGCCCCAGTTCTGGGCCAGACCCTGGGGACCCAGGCTCAGGCAGGGGGAATCCTAGGGGAGAGGAGAAAAGCGGAGCCCCTGGAGTCACGCACATTGCACACAGAGGACGGAATGTTGACTCTGATGCTAGATTGCCCTGGCAGGAAGGAAACAAAACCTCCAGCTGTGCTGAGCCCCAGTTCCGACTGCTCTGAACCCCAGTTCTAGGCCAGACCGTGGGGACCCAGGCTCAAACAGAGGGAGATGGGGCTGTGAGGCGGAGTCCCAGGGGAGTGGCGAGGGGCAGAGCCCCCGGAGTTGCACACACTGTGCGCAGAGGACAGTCTGTTGACTCTGATGTTAGACTGCCCTAGTGGGAAGGAGAAAAAAGCTCCAGACTGGAGGAAAGCGATGAGGAGCAGGAGCCCCTGCCGGACACCGGCCAGCCGGGCGACGGGGCCCCCCAGGAGGGGGGTGCCCCTGGGCCTTCGACCGCTGAGCGCGGGCCACGGAGCTGAGGCCGGGGGCTGCTTCCTGGGCGGCGCCGACCCCGGCAACAGGCTGAAGCAGTGCAGGAGCCCGCGGAGAACAAAGGGGTGCCACAGGCCAGCCTGCTGAGCTTACAGGATGAGGAGGAAGAAACCAAAGAAGTTTTCAATGTGAAGAAATCAAGATATAGCAAAAGATAGTAAAATTACTTAAGAAAGAATACAAAGAAGATCTTGAAAAATCGAAGACTAAGACAGAACTCAACTCAGCAGCCAACATTGCAACATAAATGCGTTTAAAAAAAAAAAAGACAGAATGTTGGAACGGCGGCGGCCAGGCCCAGAGTGGCCAGGCACAAGGCAGTGGTAGCCGGGCCCGGAGCAGCAGTAGCCAGGCCCCAGAGCAGCAGCAGCCAGGCCCGGAGCAGCCAGACCTGGAGCAGTGGCAGCCAGGCCTGGGGCGGAGGAGGCCAAGCCCAGGGTGGCCAGGCCAGGCCAGGAGCACCCAGGCCCGGAGCAGCCGGGTCGGGAGCAGCCAGGCCCAGAACAGCAGCAGCCAAGCCCGGAGCATCCAGGCCGGGAGCAGCCAGGTGGGGAGTGGCCAGGCCCAGAGCGGCCGGACCCAGAGCAGCCGGGTCCAGAGCAGCAGCAGCCAGGCCAGGAGCGGCCAGGCCAGGGGCAGCCAGGCCAAGAGCAGCTGGGTCAAGAGCAGCCAGGCCCAGAGCAGCAGCAACCAAGCCCGGAGCAGCCAGGTCGGGAGCGGCCAGGCCCGGAGTGGCCGGGCCCGGAGCAGCCGGGCCCAGAGCAGCCGGGTTGGGAGCAGCCAGGCCCGGAGCAGCAGCAGCCAGGCCGGGAGTGGCAGTGGCCAGACCCGGAGCAGCTGGTTGTGGAGCAGATCAGAGCAACAGAAGCCAGGCCCTGAGCATCCAGGTCCGGAACAGCTCGCTCCTCTCCTGCCCACGCCCCTGGGCTGCCTCTCAGACATGGCTGGAAACTTTTGGGGGAACTTGAGGGTCTGCTGAATCAAGTGATGAAGGCTTAAATCTGGATGTGTTAGTATAGCGCTGGGGTGTTGATCTGTGAGTGCCTTGTGTAGGGCCTGGATGAGGTTGGTTAATCTATTTGGAAATGTCTTTTGTGGGAAGTGTATCCTTGGGCATGTGGAGGTATTATTGATATGAGAAAATGCTAAGTAATTGATTTGCTACCTGAAAAATTTAAAGTTCTGAAAGTTTAAGGTCTCTTGACAAAAAGAGGTTTTAAAGCTAACACCTTACTTTTAATGGAGAAAGGGGAGGACAAGCCCTTCCCACCCAGAACAGGTAATCCAATTCCAACCAGCAGCTATGTTTAAACAATGTGTCCATTTACACTTGAATGGCTACACCTTTTGATAGCCTAAGGGCAAGATTACATGTAAACAAGTTTGCTTCTCAATTCCCAGGGCAGAAAAAAACAAGGTTTAAAATTATTAGATTTTAAAATTTATTCTTAGAAGTGTCAAAGTTTATTAATTAAAAAAAACAACAACAACAGCCGGGACGGGTTTGGCTCAATGGATAGAGCGTCGGACTGCGTATTGAAGGGTTCCAGGTTTGACTCTGGTCAAGGGCATGTACCTTGGTTGCGGGCACATCCCGGTTAGGGGGTGTGCAAGAGGCAGCTGATCGATGACTCTCTCTCATCGATGTTTCTTTTTTTTTTCTTTCTTTCTTTCTTTCTTTCTTTCTTTCTTTTTACATATTTTATTGATTTTCCCCCCTCCCTCCCTCCCACGCATCCCCTCCCTCCCCAGCTCTCATCGATGTTTCTAACTCTCTATCTCTCTCCCTTCCTCTCTGTATAAAATCAATAAAATATATTTTTTAAAAAACAAAAAACAACAACAACAACAACAAAAAGGAGATTGAAAAACCTGATGAACAATATTAGCTGTTGATTGTAGTAGAATCGGTGATACAGGAGGGGAGTGGACTGACAGTTCTCGGGGAAAGGGGGAGTGGTGGATGTAGGAAGAGACTGAACATAAACTGTGCACCTATGGGATGAGGACAATGGGGGGTGGGGAGGGGGCGGCGGGTGGGGTGGGAACCTGGTGGAGGGGGGAAGAAATGAGGAACCTTTGTAATAATATGAACAATAAAGATTGATTTTAAAAAAAATTTTTTTTAAAAGCTCAGAGGGAAGGCAGAGGAGGGTGGGGGGTGGGGTGGGATAAGAGACCAATCAAAGGACTTGTATGCATGCATATAAGCATAACCAACGGACACAGACTATAGGGTGGTAAGGGCATGTGCTGGGGGTGGGAGTGGCCAGGGAGAGGTCAGTGGGGGAAAAGGGAGACCTCTGTATTACTCTCAACAATAAAAATACATTTTACAAAAACAAAACAAAACAAAACAAAAAAGTGGCTATGACAGTAATGCCCTATGTTTCTGTGTACGAGGTGATAAGCCTCTAAAGTAGAACAGCTTCCACGGTGGTAAGATCCAAAGTGTAGTCATGTAGTCAAGGTTATGGTCGGAGTGGACAAGGTGAAGCAACTGGGAAACCAAGTACTGAGCCCAGCCCGAGTGGCTCAGTGGCTGAGCGTCCACCCATGAACCAGGAAGTCATGGTTAGATTCCCGGTCAGGGCACATGCTGGGCTGTGGACTCGATCCCCAGTAGGGGGCTTGGAGGAAGCAGCCAATCAATGATTCTCTCTCATCGTTGATTTTTTTAAAAAATATATTTTATTGATTTTTCTTACAGAGAGGAAAGGAGAGAGATAGAGAGCTAGACACGTTGATGAGAGAGAAACATCGACCAGTTGCCTCTTGCACACCACACCCCCTACTGGGGATGTGCCCGCAACCAATGTACATGCCCTTGACCGGAATAGAACCTGGGACCTTTCAGTCCGCAGACCGATGCTCTACCACTGAGCCAAACCGGCTTCGGCATCATCGTTGATGTTTTTATCTCTCCCTTTCTCTTCCTCTCTGAAATAAATAAAAATATTTTTTAAAAGAAATTGTGTTTTGAAAAGTCATTTGCAAGATGTGTATAAGAATATTCATAAGAGATTGATTTATAATAGCCCAAAAAAAGAAGCACCCCAATTGTACATAATGAAGTGAACAGGTAAAGAAATTAGTATAATCTAATACTACTCAACAATGAAGGAACAAGCTGCTGGTATGTGCAACAACAGAGGTAAGTGTCACAGGCATTGCGCAGAGTGAAAGAAGCCGGGCAGGAGAGAGCATACATAGGAATCCCATTTACATGAGGTTCAAAAATAAATTAAACTAATCTATAGGGGCAAAAGTCAGTGGCTTCTGGGAATGGCAAGGGGTTGACCAAAAATGGGCATGGGAAAGATTCTGGGGTGATGGGAATGGGCTACATCTCATTGCAGCATTGTTGACATATATTTGCCAGAGTTCATCAAACTGTACGCTTACTCTCTGTGAATGTTACTGTGTATAACACATCTAAGTGTTTAAAATGTCATCTACCCTGTCCTAGCCGGTGTGGCTCAGTGGCCTGCGGACTGAAAGTCCCTGGGTTTTGATTCTGGTCAAGGGCCCCTGCCTGGGCTGCGGGCTCGACCCCCAGTGTGGAGGGTGCAGGAGGCAGCTGATCAGTGATTCTCTCCCATCACCCATCACTGATGTTTCTGTCTCCCTCTCCCGTCCTCTCTGGAACCAGTAATATATATATAAATATGTCATCCACCTGGACATTAGGTCTTGATGACAGAGGTTGAAACAAAGGAAATGGAGAGGCAGGTGGCAGTGCTCGTGAACTGCGGAAGCTGGACAAGGCCCCGGGGAGAGCGAAGGCGCAGGGCCCAATGCCGGGAGCCGGCAGGAGAGTCGTACACGCTGAAACCGTTCATTCGTTTGGGGAGGTTTTTAAGGACGTGGCCAGAGAAGCCGCCCATGTCGCACCCCTGCCAACACTCAGAGGCGGCGCGCTGAGGCGGGATCCGGGTGCAGGGTCCCCGGTCCCTTCGGGGCTGTCGCCTCTTCGCCTGCTCGGAGCTCTGTGTTGGGAACTTGCTGGTTCTGACCACACTCCAGTCAGCACAGCTGGTGTTAAAGCAGTTAGACCGGAGACGTGCGCATGAACTTTACAGCTTTTCTTTTAAAAGATGTTTTCTTGATTTCAGAGAGGAAGGGAGAGGGAGAGAGAGATACAAACATGAGTGATGAGAGAATCGTTGATCGGCTGCCTCTCTCCAGGCACCACGGCACACATTTAATATTTAATACTGCGCCGGGCTCCACCCCCAGCTGCCTCCTCTCCCCCCTCCCCCGCTGGGGCTGGAGCCCGAAGCCCAGGCCTGCGCCGGACGGGAACTGAACTGGGGTCTCCGAATTGAACCGTGACCTGGTTCCTAAGTCGCTGCCGCGCTGGCCAGGCAACTCTACAACTTTTTCTCTTCATTGAGTCCTGAGTCCCTGGTAAACCGTTCTTTTGCAAGATTCCATCCTTGCCGAAACCGGTTTGGCTTAGTGGATAGAGCGTCGGTCTGCGGACTGAAAGGTCAAGGGCATGTACCTTGGTTGTGGGCACATCCCCAGTAGGGGGTGTGCAAGAGGCAGCTGATTGATGTTTCTCTCTCATCGATGTTTCTAACTATCCCTCTCTCTTCCTCTCTGTAAAAAATCAATTAAAAAAAAAAATATATATATAAAAAGATTCCATCCTTGTGTTGACTGAGTTACTTTGTACGCAGTTCCCGTCCTGCAAGCTGAATTCCCAGAGCGTCTCAGAGTTACTGAGAGACCCACGTGCGTCCCAGGGTTAGTCGACACCAGTGTTTCCCAAAGTGTGGTCCGCGTCCCCCCAGGGGTGGGGAAGAGTCTGGTGGGGTATGCGTTGCACCGGAGTTTGGTGGGGATATGCACTGCACCGTGCTTACCTCGCCTAATTCTGCGTTCTCATGAGTACGAGGGGTACTCAGCGTTACGAAAATTATAGAAGGGGTGCCCGCATGTCAGAAGTTTGGGGAACACTGGTCTAGACCATGAAATCTGCGCGTTGTCTTTGGAATCGACAGCAGTTTGGGCTTTGAAAACCGAGGTAGAGGGAAGAGCCGGGGCTCCTTTGGGCCGCCCCCACTTCACAGACGCGGGGGAACCAGGACTCCAGGAGGCTGCTCCCGCGGCCGCCCGTCACTGAGTGGGCCGCCCCTGTCCGGACCGTGGTCCTCGCAGTTGAGTAGAAGACAGTTTTCTCTACATTGACTCTGGGAGGTGACAGGGGTGGACAGGACAAGGCCAGGCGGAGGCCAGGTGAGAAAAGCCGCCTCTTGGTGCCTCCGGCTTCCTCATGCTCCACGACCAGCAGGGGGCAGACCTCGTGCAGCGGCAGCTCGGTCCACCGCGGCCGGCGGCAGAGGCAGGGTGGTGGCAGCCTGCTGGTCCGGGTGGATCTGAGAGGTTACATCCCCAGTTTGCCGGCCGCTGGCCTCTGCGCCCAGCCAGACTCCAAGCCGCGGTCTCCACCCCGAGAGGACTGCTTCTCCAAACACAGAGCAACCCGGGGGCAGCCAGATACAGGCACGAGGAAAAGCAGCCGTTAATCTAATAAACACAACACAAAGGCGCCGGAGAACGTGTGTGTCCTCGCACGCTCTGCCTGCCCGCGGTGCCAGGCTCCGGCACTAACCCCTCCGTAACCGCGAGCTGCATGCAACACACCGTGTCCTTCATGTGTGTGCGCACGCCCGTGCCGCGCAGTGCACACCGTTCTCGGCGATGCTGGGTAAATGGCGGCGGTGAGCGGTGCGGTCACCGGCGGGGCGGTCCGCCCGGCCAGCCCACCTCCGTCCCCGGAGACTGGAATATGAAGGTTCAGGCTTCTCCGTGGGCCGCACTCACCCCGCCAAACCTCCAGGGCTAAGTTCAACAGGAGCCGAGCCCCGAGCAAACCTTGTCAGCACACCAATCAGCTGGTGCTTCCAGCCCCTGGCAGACAGACTCCAGGGCTGCCGGAGGGTGGGATTCCAGGGGAAGAATGGACGGGCGCCTGGGCACTGATGAAAGCGGGGAAGCGGGCTCGCTCGGGGCCAGGAGGGCTCGCAGGCCTTCTGGGTGACGGGCTGGTCTTCTCGAACATCGGAAATGGGGGAACCACATCCTGGTCTCACTTGCCAGGCCTCCACTCCCCCTCAGACACTTCAGCCACCTGCCCACAGGCTGCCGCGCCTCCGCTTGGGCCTCTCCCCTCCGCCATGCACTTCCTGCCCACGGTGCCAGGAGCCAGGTCCTCGGGGAGTGAGGGGTGAGTCCTGTGTGTCACAGAAGGCTCCACGGCGTCGGTGACCAAGGCCTGCTCAGCGGTCGCTCCTCCTCGGCCAGCCTCGCTCTCAGGCCCCTCGTCCGATGGAATGCCCTCCCGCACGGCCTGGACGCTGCTGCTGGCCTTCACCACGCTCCCCCCAGGTGACGGCTTCCTCCAGGATCGAGGGGTGTGGGCCGGGGGCGGGGTCCGGGGTCCGAGGAGGCTGGCTAGAGATACTTGGAGAGCAGGCTTGGTGGGGCTGCATCTTTTAAAATATATATATTTTATTGATTTTTTACAGAGAGGAAGGGAGAGGGATAGAGAGTTAGAAGCATTGATGAGAGAAAAATATCGATCAGCTGCCTCCTGCACACCCCCACTGGGGATGTGCCCGCAACCAAGGCACATGCCCTTGACCAGAATCAAACCCCGGACCTTCCAGTCTGCAGGCCGACGATGCTCCATCCACTGAGCCAAACCGGTTAGGACAGGGGGCTGCGTCTTGAGCCTGACACCGGGAGCAGACAGGGGACTATCCGCTTGGTTGCCTCCAGGCTGCCTGCTGGCACGGTCAAGGTCACGGTCACCGTCATGGTCACACCCGGCTTCCACCCAGGCTCCTTTCTTCCCGCCACCCTCCTAATAAGATAAAGCTGAAAGATCCAGCAAAATTGGCTTGAAGTGGTCACTTTCTTTAAAGGGGTCAGTTTTAATTTGATGAGTTTGTATCTCCGTGTAGAGATAATTAGGAGTGTGGGAGACCTCATTAAATCTAAGTTTCCTAGTGAAATTGACCTTAGTTCACTGAGAGGCCTTCTGTCAGACCTATTCCTGGACTCAGAACTGTAGCTGCAGATCCGCTGGTTCCCGGGCCCCTCCACCCGCTCCGGACCCACCGATAAAACCCTCCAGGCTGGGGCCGGGGCCCTGATAAACAAAACGGTGGTGCTAGCAAGTTTGAGAGCCACTGAAACGGAAGGAGGCCTGGTAATTTCACTGACTCGAGAATTTAATCGGGGATTTTAAGAATTGGTTCAATGCGTCAGTTCAGACCGATCTCAGTGACAGCCAGGTCCTCCCCTGGAGATGTAAACGCTCGGTGCTCTAACTGCACACAAAGCAGCAGGCGGCCGCCCGGCGGGCAGAGCTGCCTGGACAGAGGCGGTCAATGCCACCGGCGCTGGGCCCACCCCCAGGAGCCCGTGTCGTGTCGGAAGCCTCAGCAAGAAGCGCAGCCCGAGCACACCGAAAGGCGGGAGGGAGAGCGGGTCCAGGAAGGACCAGACGGGTTAACAGCTCTATTAGGCAGTGGCTTGTGAGGAGGAGGGACGAGCAGGCGCCCTCAGGCTGGCGCTCCCCGGTGAGCTGGGCTCTGGCTGGGAGGCGCTGACCTGGGTCTTCTCTGCCCCCAGCGCCCTGTGTTCTCCGGGTGTCCCAGCCCCCTGAGGTCCGCGCCCAGGAGGGTGCCGCTGTCCTCCTGCCCTGCTCCTTCAACGCCAGCTCAGGGACGGCCGCCATCGGCTCTGTCACGTGGTACCGGGACACGGTGGCCCCGGGGAAGGAAGTGAGGAATGGGACCCTGGAGTTCAGGGGCCGCCTGGCCCCCCTGGCCTCTTCCCGCTTCCTCCGGGACCACCAGGCGGAGCTGCGCATCGGGGACGCCCGAGGCGGGGACGCCGGCCTGTACGTGTGCAGGGTGCAGGTGCTGGGCCTGGGTGCCGGGACCGGGACCGGGACTCTGCTGGTGGTGGAGACAGGTGAGCCCCCGCCCCACCCGGCCGGAGGCCCCGGCTGCCGGCCCTCCCGCGCACCCCTCTCCCCAGGCCCCTCACCGAGCTCTTCTCCGCCACCGCATGCAGGACCGCGCGGGACAGGGGCCCTCACAGCCCTGCTCCTTCGGGCCGGATTCTGTGCCTTCAGCTTCCTCTCCGTGGCCGTGGGCAGCACCATCTATTACCGCGGCCGGAGTGAGCCAGGGCGCGGGGATCGTGGCCGAGGAGAAGGAGCAGCGAGCGAGCTGGAGGGCGCAGAGGAGGCCACGGCGAGAGGAGGGTCGCAGCTGCCTCACAGCCAGGCCACTGCCGCCTGGGACACTGCCGCCTCTTGATGCCTCTGAGTGACCCCAGGCCCCAGTGACCCCAGCTCTTCAGGGGACCCCAATAAATCGGCCCACCACTAACTTCCGACGAGTCTGTTTCCTTGCCCACCCCCCAGCACCCCAGTGGGCGCCTCTCTGGGTTCTGGGAATGTCCAAGGAGGAGCTTCCCAGCAATTGTGCGTGGACCTCCCGCCCTCTGCCTGGGCTCGGCAGGAAGTGACCCAGCTCCCCCAGCCCAGGAGGCAGAGGTGGTGCTGGGAAATGAGGGCTGTCAAATCGGATTGGTCCAGTTGTCAGCTGCCCGCAGACAAGTACAATAGTCTCCCCATGGGGGTATCTTCCGAGACCCCTCATGGGTGCCTGAGACCATGGTGGGAACTGAGCCTCTATACACTGAGGCTTTTCCTATACATTCATGCCTATGATGAAGTTTAATTTATAAGTTAGGCATGGTAAGAGATTAACAACGATGATAAAATAGGACGATTGTAACAATATCCTATATAATAAAAGCCTAGTATGCAAATTGTCCCCTTGACCGGGAGTTCGCCCATTTCTACCACGCGCTATGTGTGCTGACCACCAGGTGGCAGTGCGGAACACGGTGGGCGTCTGTGACACGGCACTGGCAGTGGGCGGCAGTGTAGGTGCTGCTGGCCCCAATGAGCTTAGACAGGACCGCAGGGGGTGGTGAAACAGGTGAGCAGGCAGTGCCAGGCCCAGGCAGGTGTGGGTGGGGCTGATTGCCACACAGATGGTGACCAGCGGTGGTGGCGGTGGGTGGGGCCGCTGCCTGGCTCCCAGATGTTGAGAGGGCCAGGCGGGGGTCCGATGGCTCAGGCAGAGGGGGGTGCATAGAGCTCTGGGGGCCCAGGTGCTGCCCAGGGCCCACAGGTCAGCTGGGACCTGCCCTTCCACACCAGACCTCCTGCTTCGATTGCTGGCCAGCCTGGGGACAGCACCTGTGCACCAAGGTCGTGCACCCGGCCTCCAGCACTGTAAGATAAATGATGTGACTGTGCTTCCCTCTCTCATGGTACCCTATTGCCCTGCTTCCTGTGATGTAGGATACGGTGCCAGCTGTGTGTGGAGGGAATGCGGTGGATGACCTGGCCCTGGGCTGCGATGGGGGGACGTGGACACAGCACAGGGACACCTCCACTGTGGATCTCGCCACCTGGCTGGGCACTAAGTGCCGAGGCCAGGGGGCCCCGGGTGGCTTCGCTGGGCACGCAGAGAAGCCCTGGAGCAGGATAGAGATTTCATCACACTGCTCAGGATGGTGCGCGACTTCAAACTCAGGAGATATTTATTTCTGGAATGTTCCATTTACTATTTTCTGACTGTGGGTAACCGGACCAGTGTTTCCACTGTGTCAAAGCCAAACCGTGGATAAAGGAGGGACTACTGCGTTCTTTTCAAGCCTCAGGGAGCCTGGTCCCTTGACACCCTACTTGAGCCCCGAGGGTGGGAAGGGAAGTCACGCAGGTTTGGTGGTGGCGGTGCTGAGGGGCGTGAGGTGGACGGAGCTGCTGACACAGGAAGCTTGAGACCAAGGTGCTTCCTGGGGGAGCACAGGGTGCGCGGCGGGGGGTGCTCAGGCGGCCTTCTGGTCAGCAATGAAGGTGTAGTCGGTGGCGGGGTCCTGCGGGGGGGCTCCCCTTTCCTGGCTGCAGGGCAGCCGCTGCAGAGACGCGTAGTGGAGGTCCTCCTGCTCGGGGAGCTGGGCCTGGGCCTGGCCGGGCAACAGGCTGGAGGGGTCACAGGGCCGCTCCCAGCCTCCCTGTGAGCTCTCGGCCCACCCCCACTTTCTTACTTCATTACCTCCTCAGCCTCCTCCTCCCTCCCTCCCTCCCTCCCTCCTTCCCCCTCTTCTTTCTCCTCCCCCTCCTCCTCCTCCCTCTTCCTTCTCCTCCCCCTCCTCCTCCTCCCTCTTCCTTCTCCTCCCTCCCTGCTCCGCGCCTCCCTCCCCCCCCCCCCCAGTCCTCAGCTTGGGTCCTTCCCCTCATTGCCCTTCCTTGTGTGGGTCTCACTCTCCCCCCTCTTACTCTATCTTGGGTCTGTTTCCTTCCTTCTCTCTGACTTTCTCTTTCACTCTTTGTCTCTCTCATTTCTGCCTCCCTCTCACTTTTCTCTTATTTCCTCTTTCTATATCCGTATTTCCTCTTCCTATATCTGTACCATTTCTTTTCTATTTTCTATTCATTCTCTTATTTCTCTTTTTGCCTCTTATTTTCTCACTGACGCAGCCCTGCTTGCTCTCTTCTCCCACCTCCCCATCTCGTCTCAGCCCCTCCTGTTGCCCCTCACCCACGTCCCTGGCCCCAGACTCACCCAGCTCCTCTCCAGCTTCCTCACTGGAAGAAAGGCAGTGGCTCAGCGAGACCAGCCCCGGCCCAGCCCCCGCAGCCGTGGCCCCTCACTCTGCCTTTCCTGGGGTTCCCACAGCCAAAGCCTGGCCTCTCCATTCAGACAGCCCCCCCCCCCCAGCTTCTCCCTTCCTCCCCAGGGGTGTAAGGGCTGAGGGGTGCCGGGATAGCAGCAGGAAGGGTGGGGTGGGGCCGCCCGGGGCATAGGGGGGCGGGGGGTCAGGGGGTCAGGGCAGCTCACCTCTCCGATGGAGCCGACACAGACAGGCGAGCAGAATGGCCACAGCCACAGCCAGGAGCCCCCCCAGCCCCAGGGCCGCATAGGAGAAGGCAGCTGGGGAAAGGGGTGCATGTGAGCGCCCCCTTCCTGCTCCAGCTCACCCCACTGCCGGCTGGCCAGGACCTCAGCGGCTCCCCTGGCAGTTTTAGAGGCAGAAGCGCAGGCCCTGTGCCCATAACCTGGCCTCCGGCAGAGGCACGCCCTCCATCCCTCTAACCCCTGACCCCCAAGACCGATCACCCTCGGAGGCTCCCACTGCCGCCCCCTGTGGCCCCCTCCAGTCCCTGGCCCGCTGCCCCGGCCTGCACCCCCTCTGCCCGCGCTGTGCCCGGGCCCGGGCGAGGCCGCCTCACCTGAGTGGACATTCGTTGAGAAGCCATCAGTACCTGCCATGAGGCCACAGGAGACGGTTCAAGGGAGGCAGACTGGCCCCTGCCCAGCGGCCCAGGTGGCCTGGGCGAGTCACGTGCCTCAAGTTCCTCATCGGTCAAGTCCGCCTCTGTCTGTCTCCCTAGGCCCAACGGCCTCACTCTGCCCAGCCCTGACCTGGCACTTCCCTTCCCGTCAGCGCTCTCTGCGCAGCATGGGAAGGGCTGCGGTGCCCGCTCTGACCCCCTCTCCCCCTGACGGTGGCGCCTGGGCCTCTGTAGCTGGCACAGTTCTGGGTTCGGTTCAGAAAGAGCGATGGTGGGAGGAGCCCGGTGTGGCGAAATGTGGGGACCAGAGGGAGGGCGTGGGGACCGGAGGGAGGGCGTGGGGACCGGAGGGGGGGCGTGGGGACCGGAGGGAGGGCGTGGGGACCGGAGGGAGGGCGTGGGGACCGGAGGGGGGGCAGGGAGGGCGTGGGGACCGGAGGGAGGGCAGGGAGGGCGTGGGGACCGGAGGGGGGGCGTGGGGACCGGAGGGAGGGCAGGGAGGGCGTGGGGACCGGAGGGAGGGCGTGGGGACCGGAGGGGGGCGTGGGGACCGGAGGGAGGCAGGGAGGGCGTGGGGACCGGGGGGGGGGGCGTGGGGACCGGAGGGAGGGCAGGAGGGCGTGGGGACCGGAGGGAGGGCGTGGGGACCGGAGGGGGGCGTGGGGACCGGAGGAGGGCAGGAGGGCGTGGGGACCGGAGGGGGGGCGTGGGGACCGGAGGAGGGCAGGGAGGGGCGTGGGGACCGGAGGGGGGGCGTGGGGACCGGAGGGAGGGCGTGGGGACCGGAGGGAGGGCAGGGAGGGCGTGGGGACCGGAGGGGGGGGGGGGGGACCGGAGGGAGGGCAGGGAGGGCGTGGGGACCGGAGGGAGGGCGTGGGGACCGGAGGGGGGCGTGGGGACCGGAGGGAGGGCAGGGAGGGCGTGGGGACCGGAGGGGGGGCGTGGGGACCGGAGGGAGGGCAGGGAGGGCGTGGGGACCGGAGGGGGGGCGTGGGGACCGGAGGGAGGGCAGGGAGGGCGTGGGGACCGGAGGGAGGGCAGGGAGGGCGTGGGGACCGGAGGGAGGGCGTGGGGACCGGAGGGAGGGCAGGGAGGGCGTGGGGACCGGAGGGAGGGCGTGGGGACCGGAGGGAGGGCGTGGGGACCGGAGGGGGGGCAGCGGGCAGCGTCCAGGAGCAAGTATGTCTTGGGAAGAGGAAGGAGACAGACACCACAGCGCCTCCCCGGTGACCCTGCTGTGCCTGCTGTGCCCATCGCTGTGCTGGCCATGCTGGCAGCTTGGCAGGGCGGGCACATCCTGCTGGCCAGGGCAGGAGCCTCTGGGGCCCCCAACTTCCCTCCAGGCTTCCTGCTGCAGCCGTGGTTCCTGTCTGAGGGCAGAGGGAGGCCTCGGCCTTCGCCCCGGCCGGATGCCCCAGAGGAGCTGCTGTGTGGGCTGGGTGTGGAGCAGAGGCCCCAGAGGAGCTGCTGTGTGGGGTGGGTGTGGAGCAGAGGCCCCAGAGGAGCTGCTGTGTGGGGTGGGTGTGGAGCAGAGGCCCCAGAGGAGCTGCTGTGTGGGGTGGGTGTGGAGCAGAGGCCCCAGAGGAGCTGCTGTGTGGGCTGGGTGTGGAGCAGAGGCCCCAGAGGAGCTGCTGTGTGGGCTGGGTGTGGAGCAGAGGCCCGGGCAGGACTCCTCTGGCCCGGGAGCCTCAAAGCCATGCTCCGCTCCCCCTGCCCATCCCTGCTCTCTCCCAGCTCACCCAGAGCCATGGCCTGCGGGGGGGGGGGGGGGGGGCAGGAGGGGCAGAGGGGGGCGGGGCGGGGCGTGACTCTAGAGGACAGGACAGCCGGCAGACAGCCGAGGGAGCGGCCTGGGGAAGCACGTGCTCACCGCAGGCATCCCCCCCTTCACCCTCTCCCTCAGCCTCCGTGTCTCCCAGCAGCCTTAGAGGGGAGTTGGGCTTTGAGGGTTAGGCTGGGACATCCTTCCTTTCAGACCCTGGACGGGACGGAGCACCTGCTCGGCTCCAGCCGTCCCACTGATCCTGCAAGGAGCCGGCGCCTTGGCCTCCTCGGCGATCACTTTCCCAACGCTCCCCGCTCCGCCCCCCGCAGCGTGACCACGGGGGGCGCGTGCACACACCTGGCTCCCGCATCACCGGGGCTCTGGGGGTTGCAGGGTGGCTCACTGGTGTTTGGGGCACCCCCCCCCCTTTCTCTCGCAGGGTGCATGGCTGACTGATTTACAAACCGCAGCCGGACTAAGTCTAATGGGCACTGCTGTTAGACTCAGGGTTGCTGACTGGCTAGTGTTGGGAAGATCCAGGGTCCCAGGAGGGGTGGCGTCCGGGTGGATTTCCTGGGGCGGCAGCATGCTTGGGGGGGGGGGGGGGCAGGAGGTAAGCCAGGCAGTGGTCGGAGGCCCTCTGGGCAGAGCCTGGACGAAGGCTGCTGGTGCCCCGGGTGGAGAGGGAGGCGCCCTGGGGCTGAGCCTGAGGAGGCGGAGCCCGGGAGCTGGGCAGGCGGGCTCAGGTCCGCTGCCTGGGTCCACATGCAAATTCAGAAACTTTCTCTACTTCTTCCCTCTCCCTCCACAGTGCTCCTCACTGCAGGGCAGTAGGACAATATTCAGTTTCATTAAAAAAAAAAAAAAAAAAAAAAAGACTTATTAAAAACTTTAGAGAAAAATGGGAAGAACTGAACAGTGAACATGTCCCTACCACCTAGATTCTACAATTAGCTTTTTTCTACATTTGCTTTATCACTTATGGCTCATCTCGTTATTGGATACCTTTCAATGCTGCAAACATCGGTGCGTCCCATCTCTGACCTCCCTGCCGTGTTTATCTCGCACTGGTCCAGCGTCTGTTCTCCATTATGTTTTGGAGGCTGAGGGAGGTGGTGTCCGCGTGCAGCGAGGTACACAGATCTGAAGCCAGCACTTAGCTTCTCAGTGTCTCGTGGTCAAGGCTCTCAAGTCAGACTGCCTGGGTTTCAAATCCCGACTCTTACCGTTACTGTGTGACCTTTCACAAGCTCCTTAACCTCTCTGTGCCTCTTCCAGGATTTTTGTCAGGATTAAATTACTATGTATATAAAGTGTGTAGATCCGTGGCAGGCACATGCTGAGTGCTATTTGCCTACATGTATATTTAAATCTATTTTTATTGATTTCAGAGAGGGAGAGATAGAAACATCAATGATGAGAGAGAATCCTTGATTGGCTGCCTCCTGCATGTTGTACAGAGCCCGAAACCCTTGACTGGAACTGAACCTGGGACCCTTCTGTCTGCAGGCCGACGCTCTATCCACTGAGCCACACGGGCTAGGGCCCTATTAGCTACATTACTGTTGTTATCCAAACATACACATGCCCTTGCGAAGGGGGATGATGTGCAACCACCTGACTTCCTGGGCCCGGCCTTTCCCTCAGCCCCTACATCAGCCCCGCGATCCGCACTGTCCACCATCGTGCATAGTGCTGCTCGGCTTCCTCATTCCCTTGTCATTTCTTCATAACATTTGGTCAGCACCCGCTCCACGGCGAGGACTCCTGGGTGCCACGCTCTCTGGGGGGTGCCCGGGGAGGCAATGCTCCCCATCCTCCTCAGCTGCCATCGCTGCCAGTTCTGGGCTTGGGGGGAGCGTGGGGACCGAGGTGGGCCCAGGGCAGGGATAGCTCTTCTCAGGGACGTCTATCCCTCAAGACCCCCGTTCTGGACCTCAGGGTTGGGGTGCAGCACCCGCCTTAGCTTTTTTAGGGTGCAGAGGGCTGCAGGCTGGGCTTTGGGAGTTGTGTTCTCACTGCAGCTTTGCTGCCAGGCTTTCTGCAGGCCACCTGCCCCGCTTGGCCGCGCCGCCCTCCGGAGCCCCGAGGCCCCTAAGGCCCCCTCCACACGTACCCGGAAAGCTGCCTCCTCCCTCCACTCCTTCCCCAGTTCAAGGAACCCAGCATCCAGCTGCCCCACCCCAGCTCTGGGTAAACAGGAAGCTGGGTGAGGGGAGCAGGGCGTGTGGAAAGTCCCAGCCAGGTGTGTGGGTCCATGGGGAGGGGGGTGGCCCCACCCCTGAGATATGAAAGCCCCCCTGCCCTGGCCCTGGCTCAGTCTCAATGGGGGCCCTGGGGCTGGAGGGCTGGGGGAGGAGGCCCCAGGGGAAGGGCTGCCTCCTGCTGGCTGTGGCAGGAGCCGCCTCCCTGGTGACCCTGCTGCTGGCTGTGCCCATCACTGTGCTGGCCGTGCTGGTCGTGGCGCCCCCGAAGCCAGGGCCGGTGAGTGCTGCTCCCGCTCCGCTGGCTGTGCCGGGGCTGGCCCGCCGGCCCTCCTGTGCCGGTCCTCCCGTGCTCCTGACGCTGCGCCTCCTGATGTCGCCAAGCCCTTCCTGGCTGTCTCCCTCCTCCCCCTTCCCAAGCATACTCGCTCCTGTCGCTTGCTCTCCCCTCCAGGGAGGCGGTGCTGGCTGAGGCTGGGTCTGCAGGGGAGGGTGGGGCTGGCATCAGCTGCTGGACTGACCTCTGGGCACTGCGGCCCTCCCTTCCCGTCCAGGTGGCAGAGCCCCCTGACCCCGGGGCACGAGCACTGGCCCAGCGGCGACTGGGTAAGAGCTCCCCGGGCTCCTCGCCCCATCCACCTGCGCCCCCAGACGCACTCCGCTCCTCCGGGGACGGGCCTCTCCCTGGCCGCCGCCCAGCCCTCAGCGGGGAGCAGGCGTGGCGGCCCTGCCCCAATCCTGGGCTCTCGCCCCGTCCAGGGCCCCAGGAGCTGCTGGAGCAGGACGCAGAAACCGACCCCAGCCCCGGGCCCCCGGCCGCCCACCTCATCGGTAAGGACCCGGCAGACGGCCCGGCCGCCCTGCCCGCCGCGGGGAGCCCGAGGGGCCCCCTCCCCCTTCCCTTCCTTCCCCCTTCTCTTCCCCTTCCCCTCCCCTCCCTTCCCCCCCCCCCCCCCCCCCCCCCCGCCGGCCGGCCCAGCCCCTCTCCCCTCTCTCCCGCAGGCGCCTGGACGCGCGGCGGCGGGCTGGGCTGGGAGGCGGCGCAGGAGGAGGCGTTCGTGCGCAGCGGCGCGCGCTTCGGGGCGGCGGGGCTGGCGCTGCCGCGGGACGGGCTGTACTTCCTGTACTGCCACGTGGGCTACCGCGGCCGCGCGCCCGCCGGCCCGCCGCCCGCGCGCGCGCTCACGCTGCACAGCCGGCTGTTCCGCGCGGGCGGCGCCTACGGCCGCGGCGCCCCCGAGCTGCTGCTGGAGGCGGCCGAGACCGTGCGGCCGGGCGACCGCGCGGACGCGGCCGGGCGCCTGTGGTACGCCAGCGTGGGCGTGGGCGGCCTGGCGCGGCTGCGGCGCGGCGAGCGCGTCTTCGTCAACGTCAGCCACCCCGAGCTGGTGGACGCGCGCCGCGGCAAGACCGGCTTCGGGGCCGTGCTGGTGGGCTGACCCCGGGGGGCGGGGGGGGCGGTGCTGGGGGACTGACCCGGGGGCGGTGCTGGGGGGCTGACCCCGGGGGGGGGCGGGGGGGCGGTGCTGGCGGGCTGACCCCGGGGCAAGACCGGCTCCGGGGCGGTGCTGGCGGGCTGACCCCGGGGGGCGGGGGGGGGGCGGTGCTGGGGGACTGACCCGGGGGCGGTGCTGGGGGGCTGACCCCGGGGGGCGGGGGGGCGGTGCTGGGGGACTGACCCCGGGGGGCGGGGGGGGCGGTGCTGGAGGACTGACCCGGGGGCGCCGGGCGGGGGGGGGGGGTGCGGGGCGCACAATAAAGAGCCTCGGCGGCGAGCCCACGTGTCTGTCCAGTTGCTTGGGGCTCCGTGCCCCGCGACGCTCGGCCCAGTGGGGCTCCCCGGCGGCCCCCTCTGCCCGAACGGCCTCGCCCCGCATTGGCCCGGCCGAAGGGTAGAAGGGAGAGGATCGCCCACACCCCAAAGCTTCTCCCAGCACCTGTTCCAGAGCCGCATGCCCCCCCCAACACACACACACATACACACACCCCTCCCTTCTCCCGTCCCTCCCAGCAGGGAGCGCTCGGTGCCGGACAAGGACTGGGCGAGCTCAGCAGAAAGGCCCCGCGCAAGGGCAGCCCTGCGACGCTGGGGGCAGAGGAGCGGCCGACGCTGGGCTGCAGGAGGGAGGCTGAGAGGGAGAGAGGGCTTGGGATGGTGTCTGGGGACTCAATGGAGAACCTGAGGAGGAGGAGGAGGAGGAGGAGGAGGAGGGAGGAGGAGGAGGGGAGGAAGAGCCGAAGGAGGAGGAAGAGCAGGAGAAGGGAAGGAGGAGGAGGAGGGGAGGAAGAGGAGGAGAGGAGGAGGAGGAGGGGAGGAAGAGCAGGAAGAGAAGGGAAGAAGGAGAGGAGGAGGAGGAGGGGAGGAAGAGGAGGAGAGAAGGAGGGGAGCAGGAGGAGGAGAAGGGGAGCAGGAGGAGGAGAAGGAGCAGGAGGAGGAGAAGGAGCAGGAGGAGGAGGGGAGCAGGAGGAGAAGGTGAGGAGGAGAAGGGGAGCAGGAGGAGGAGAACGGGAGGAAGAGCAGAAGGAGGAGGAGGAGAGAAGGAGGAGAAGGAGGGGAGCAGGAGGAGGAGAAGGGGAGCAGGAGGAGGAGAAGGGGAGCAGGAGGAGGAGAAGGAGCAGGAGGAGGAGGGGAGGAGGAGAACGGGAGGAAGAGCAGAAGGAGGAGGAAGAGCAGGAGAAGGGAAGGAGGAGAGGAGGAGGAGGGGAGGAAGAGGAGGAGAGGAGCAGGAGGAGGGGAGAGGAGAGGAGCAGGAGGAGGGGGAGGAGTTCTCGCCTCTGTCGCACTTCAGGCCCCCTTCCGGAGGGTCAAGTGTGCGGGCCTGGGGTGAGTAACTGCAGCCCTCTCACCCCATGACTGACTTTCAGCCCCGCGGGGAGGCGGAGGGGGACCCAAGGCCCTATCTAGGTCACCCCAGTGGGTCACCCGCCGCTGGCACACCGCAGGTTTCCCCTGCCTGCTGTTGCCGGTATTTCATTTCTTCACTCTGCTATCATTTCCTCTTTGGTCAGGATTTTTCTCTTAGGAAACATCGTAGATCAAACAAAACATGTTAAAGTCCCCATGTCAGGTGGCAGTGCCCTCCTTGGACCTGGCACGGCCTCAGAACGGGGTGTGGCGGAGACATGCTTGCCAAACGAGTTTGCAGTCAGCTCGGCATCTGTGCCGATTTTTAGTGGAAGCGTTCGGAAAGGACGGTTGAGATGTTACCAACATGCACGAGTCTCAGGGACTAGGTCAGGTCAGCTGAACAGGTGCCTCTCCTTTTAGGAGGCCATGATGCAGTGGCTCCCAAAATCGCTGGCAGGCCTCTGGTGCGAATTACCAGGTATTTACAACGACGCGTCTCCATGGAAACCAAAGAAAACTGTAGCCACGGGCGCTCTGTCCGCCCCTCCCGGAGCTCTGAAGGCAGCAGTGGCCTCCGCGGGAGCGAGGCTGGCCGCCCTGCCGGCTGTTTGCTGACTGGTGCTCCCGCTCCACAGGCCAGGCCGCCTGCGGGTCAGCGGGTCTCTCTGCCCGTTACCTCACGGCGCCCGCTTTCCGGGTGTGTCTTTGGGAAAGGCAGTTTTAGTTCTCAGGATGACAGAGCCAGGGTGCGAGGAAGACGGGAAGTGTCAGGTTGGAGACTAGAATTCAAGACCTGGTCCGGTTTGGCTGTATGAACAAAACCTCCAAAGAGCAGGTTTGCTCAGTGGTGAGAGCGTTGGCCTGAGGACTGAAAGGTCCCGGGGCTGACTGTGGTCAAGGGCACAGGTGAGGATTAACAGTAACGCCAAAAAAAAGATAACGAGCAGCACTAGAATCTAATATCCAGAAAGGTGTATTAATTCTCTCTAAATAACCCTCATTTTTACCAGATATAGCCAAGACCAATTTGTTTGTGAAATAAAGGTAGTTCCAATCACGTTGCTTGTTATTTACATAGGAACAGCAAGAATGGCAAGTAACCGTATTGCTTTTAAAAACCTGCTTTACCCAGCCGGTGTGGCTCAGTGGGCTCGATCCCCATGGGGGACATGCAGGAGGCAGCCATCAATGATTCTCTCTCATCGTTGATGTTTCCATCTCTCCCTCTCTCTTTCCCTCTAAAATAAATTTTTTAAAAATTTAAAATCTGCTTTGCTGGAATTTGTCATAAGGAATCTTCATAAGGAACTTTAATGGCCCCTGAAGCCAGAAAAGCCGCAGCAAGGACTTGTCATCAGACAAATCTATAGGTTTGGCGAGTTCCTCTCTTCTTGAGGTCCCCAGAGTAACTGAGGCCCTGCACCTGCCAGGAAGTGGCCTTCACCACTCATCTGATAAAGCTTCCGAGATGCTGCGAGCAGGGTCTGGCTGGCGGTGCCAACGGCTTCATTGGTTTTCCTGAGTCACTGCTATCCCTTGCAGCTTCTGCTCGTACCTGAGCCTGCACGTCTCTCTCAAGGACACCCCACTGAAAGCCGCTTTCCAAATGTGTCCTCTGACAAGGAGAACAGGTCTCATGAACACGCAAACAATGTTGCCATGAAAATAAGAATACTCACTGATGTCTGAATCCTGGAGGAACAAAGATAGACAAAGGTCAATGTTTCAATTCTGCTTACAAAGGTATAATTGCTCTAATTCACAGGTTGCTAAAGAAAAAATGTTTATGTCTAGAAAAACAAAAAAGTAAAGAAGCAGCAATATTTCAAATAAAAAGTCATAAAAATTGTAATCATTCAGTCCCAGGTTACTAATTCTTGTTGGTCTTGTTCTTTT